ATCTGATTGGCTAATTTGCCGTTGTCGATAAGAGTCCAGACAACGCTGCTCGCGCCAATGCGTCACGCAATGGCTTTTTCAGCTCGCGCTCTGAAAAAAGCACTTTCTTTGACGTTGATATTGTGCCTCGTGCGTCCACAGCATTTTGACCACTGTGATGACGCATATCGTTGTCGATAAGAGTACTGACCACGCTAAGCCACATTCGATTTGTTAAATAGAACAGTGGTAGATAAAAATCAATTACAAATGTATTTCAAATCTATCAATATAACTAAAATTACACCGACGGCAGACTGCTGAATTCTCTATCAACAGTAACATGGTAGCAAAAGTGTCCTAATATGCGCGAACTTTTCCTACCCTGCACTTACTAATTATAAACTAAGTGATTGTTACATATTGCAAATAAAGATAACATGGGAAATACAAACTGGTATAAGAGACACCAGTTGACTATTTACAAGCGCGGCAGAGGAGTTGAACTTTGTTTACACTTCTTGGGTTTTTACTACTTTTTACTGAAACATTTGATTGTAAATGAAGTAACTGTAATCAAATAAACTTGAACTTAAACACTAGGCCCTTTTACAAGGAGGAAAGCTCTGTGTGGTAGGAGGGTTTATTAATGCAAAATCTTGGGAAAAACTGGTTTGAGGCCAGGGAGCATATAAACACCATCCCTGCCATGCTATAGACTGTTCACAGCCCTCTACTTTCTCGTATTTTTATTTGATCGTTGAACGCGCGAATAGAATCGCAAGAGAACTGGACGCCAGCGTAAAACAGCAGATATGACGCGGTCGAGGGCAGGGACCGAGAAATACAGTCTCTCTATTCTTCGTTTAGCTGGCTTCCCTCGCCCCTTCGCTCTCATCCGCGCGTGTTTCGCGCTCGCTTCGTGCACTGTTTCTTCCGCGTGCGTTGAAAAATAGAGAGGCTGTAAACAGTCTAGCAGGCTAGGCTGCTACAAGTAACCTTTTGTCGTGTAAATCAGCCACATGTTGATTTGATCGTAACGACGCGAGCTTTAAAAGAGTTTAGGGGGAAATTTAGCTTGCTGCAGGCTCTTACCAGTGAAACTCAGTACTGTTCTTATAGCTCAAAGTGTGAATTCTCTCTACTCATTACTATAAATTCTGTTGATGTTAGCTTTGAGAAACCCATCGGTTTCTGGTCTGTCACGAGTTTCCCTTCTAACTATTGTCATAATGGGACGGGTTCTAGATAGGAAACTCGTCCAAATTTACACGTCTTCTTATCCGTCTTACTAGACGTCTTCTTATCCGTCTTACTAGACGAGTTAAGACGAGAACCACATCGGGTCGTGAATTTGCACTTAGACGATTATCGTGGTGGAGTTTTGAGAGACAATTGCGCCAAACGGGCTAGAACTAGGAAGAGACCCAACAAAA